AAATCATATTGTAGCTACCAAACTGGCACATTTATTTATCAAATCATATTCATCTTGTGTCAGGAGGCTTAAAGGGACTTTTTGAAATTCTTAGATTTATTCAAATCCATGTATAAAGTGAAACCCTGTCATCATATCTACATAAATCAAAACATTCATTTCCGGGTTGAGCCAGATTTCAGGTAATACTGCACAGCGGAATTACAAACGATAAAACTCTTTCGGGAATTCGAGCAAAACCTTGTCTCTTGGACGAAAAACTGACAAAGAACCACTTATGTCATGATGTTTGATTGATTCATTATCGTGCAAGAATCTTGTATCGACKCTGCATCGTATGTGAACGAGGAACAGTATTCAGTGCAATAAGATTTCGTCACGACTGGACTCGGTACAAAGGTAAGACGACATTTTGTATTCATCGAGCTTGATAGCATCCAATTAAAACTTTAAAAGGCATCAGAAAGCGGTATTTATCCTTCAATCATGTCACCAAATCGTTAGTAGTTGTTTATTGCTGTCTAAGTACCGATATGAATTGGAGATAACTTATTCAATAGTCGAATGTCGTCGAATTGAACACTTTATGCTCGATTTTATAACGAAATGTCCCTAAATATTTGTAGGAAATCTATTCACTTGACTTATCCTATCCATCATTATTTGTAATTTAGAAGATTAACATCAGCTAGTTCACTTTTAAAATCAATGTATTTAATGTTTGAGTTCAAGTAGATACAATGTTTACTTGTCGCCATTTTGAAAACACAGGAAGCCCAATTTGATATACTGAAGACTTTAAAGAGACGACATGAAATGGTCGAAGGCATATTCTATCGGTGAATCAAAACTAGAAGCTGGTGAGACTAGAGATGCAATAAGATACTTTAAAAAGGCCCTGATGATTGCACAGAAGAATGCCTCTAAACAGGAAGAAACTGTCACGCTAGCAAAACTGGCTGACGTTTACCGTGATATAGAAAATTATCACGAGGCTGCTGATTACTATGAGAAGGGACTGGAAATAGTACAAGAGACTGGTGACAAGAAACTAGAGTCTGTGATATGTTGTAACACTGGCACTGCGTGTCGTAAACTGGGAGATTATGAAAAGTGTATGGTGTATTCAAAACAAGGCTTCAATGTTGCATTAAGAATCGGTGACTCTAGACTCACTGCAGATTCTTATGAAGGTCTTGGTCGTGCTTACAATGCCCTGTGTGACTATCAAAATAGTATTAAGTGCTATAAAAAAGCTGTTGATAGGTACAAACAACTGAATAATGAAGAAGGATTAGGGTGTTGTTATGCAAACATGTCATTATCATATCAGATGCAAGGAAAGTACCATGATGCAATTCGTCTATTAGAGGAGAGTCTCAGGATAAGTGTTAAAATTGGAAGAAAACAAAACCAGGCGAGTGACTTACTTAACTTGGGGTCAATATACACAACGTTGAATGATTATGATAAGGCCATCGAGATGTTCCAGAAAAGTCTTGCTATCAGTATAGAGATCGGTAATAAACGTCTTCAAGCAAAATGTTATGGTAGCCAGGGAAATGTTTTGTTTCATTATTGTGAAAAATATTCAGAAGCCATTATGTATTATCAGAAATGCTTAGACATTTCAAAAGAAATCGATGATAAACAATCACAATCGGTCGCCTTATTAAAGAGCATATGACACGAAAACAGTTTTTTGTCCAGTGAAAGAACGGTATTTGAAAACCCTAAATCTAAAATATTTTTCAATTCTGATAAAAACCTGTCAAGTTACAGCTATTTGAAATTAGCAATTTTCCTCTGATTTTTGTCCCATTTTGGGGGACTGGATACTAGCGTTGTGACGTCATTTTGTTGGCTTAGTATTTCTGCACTCCACAATCTTCTCTTTGCGCCAGTAAAACCTCTTTCGAATATATCGGATTGT